CATATTTGTCTCCTTTTTCACCATGTTATTGCACTTAAAATTCTAAACTAAACCACAGATGAATTCACCAATTTGTAGTTGACCTTAGGAATTACCAAAACTCCTAAGTATGAAACTAGCTCAACTACTAAGAAGAAAAAGAGCACAAGGAAGAAGAACAAGAGGAGGAAGAGGAAATGGGAAGGAAGTTGTTTAACTGACATATACATATTGCTTAGCATTTATTTTAGGATTATCTATTAGATAAAATCATGCACTATAATATAGAGTTGACTTTCCAACACTTTAAATCTACTTTATTTTATTTCATAATTCTCTCAAAATTTTGCTTATTATTGTTGATTTTCTTCTTTTGCCTTTTCAATTGACTACATAATGTTCCAAACTCCATAGTTTACTATTCTGTTTTTCATAAATGCTGAATCTGAAATTCAGATTCTAGTATGGCCTACAATAGCATCGAAATTGTTTGACCCTTGATCTTAATCTTGTCTCTTTGCTCTTTCATATGCTATAATGGCCTGAATCTGCTGCAAAACTATTGGCTTTTCTTCACGAAGCCATGCATACTCTCCGGTCCATTTGAATAACATCAAAAGTAAAATGCAATTTGAGAAGCCGAGTTAGCAATCTGCTTATTCGAGCAAACTTCTGGTGCAGCTTTATCTACATCAAACCAGTTAGCTGGTCACAATTACTGCTCTAACTAAGCTTTCCTATGAATTATCTTTTGTTATCAAAATTTCAAATCTACTGATTATGAAAGTCTGAATGACCAATATTAAAACTGAGGTATCAATACTTTCTTTTGTTTATTGTATGTACTGTTTTGATTTCAACTAATTACCATAGTACAGAGTCAGATTCACTTAATACCACTCTAAGGCTCTTTAAGATGTTTTCCAATAGTTGTCTGCAAAATAAGCATTCTCTCCTTGGGGCACTTATATTTCCCATTAATAGTGTCAATTTTAAGACCTCATACTATTATTTTGCCTCTTTGGCACCTGAGTCCATTCTTCTCAGGTCTGTAACAGCTTTAGCAAGTCATTCTCTTTGGTCCTGCATTATGCATCTGAAGGTTTAGCCTCATTAGTAACTCAAATGAGGAATATTGGTTGAAAGACTTTAATTGTCAAGTTACATTTTGCATGCGCATATATTTATGCATCTTTGCGTTTCTACCTCATCAACAGCACCAACAGAAAAATAAAGTCCAGGAATTACATAAGAAACAGTTTCATTAAATAATAAAATGTGGATTATTGTCCAAGAACTTAAACAGCTACATGCAAAAGCAAGAAAGAGAAAATTAGAAGTACCAACCTTTGTCCAAGCAATCCCACATGCATTACAAAGAGTCCTTGGTCCCTCAGGCCCACGGCGCATATGTGGTGTTGCATTTGCACTGATGCCACACCGGATGCATCTGAACAAATTCAATAGAAGTTTAAGGAATCACACAAGACCTGGAATTAACTGCCATAGAAAATCCATGTCAAACATTGTCCACTTCTGCTCAATCATGTACCAATACAGATTCTAAACCCTTAAACTGTTCCTCAAAGTTCTACCATTGAAACAAGTTACAAGGCAGCAATTTTAAAGTGAACAGAGATCTCGGACTATAATAAATAAGTCTATCAGCTACAGTTAGAAACAGCAACTCCAGACAACAAAATGTTGCCAAATTCACATCACCAAAGTAACAGCACTTGCTTTATTATGTGGTTTTTATACTTCTTTTGTCCAGTAAAAGCTACTAGCATAGGCATCTAGGTGTCATGGAAAGCTTCTCTTGAACAAAGGAAAACTTTAATATTTATGTCAGGTTGCCACTTATACAATGCCCTAGAAATACAATGGACAATACCTTGTTCCACTAAACCAAATTCTTATAAATGAAAAGAGAAATTTATTTCCTCTCATGAACACAGTGTGGACACCAATGAAATATGGATACATCAAATTAATGAATAGATGTCAACTATGATATTTGTAGGATACTTCTTGGATATGTCTTCGATATTTCCTTGACGGATCCAGTTTCTTTAAAAATAATTATAAGGATAGTAGTTGTAGTATACTTAGGAAATACTTTGTGCATGCTTCTCCAAAGAATTTTGGGTTTTTAGGATATTTGACTTTCATATCAATAATGAAGTTAACATCATACAGTACCTCAGCAATCAAAAGTTAATGCTACATTCACTATACGGTTGTAGTATTAATTGCCAGAGAAAAAATTCCTTCATGATGAATATTTCAGGGATGCCAGCTAATTAATGCTAATTTTTTGTATCAATATTATATATTCCAAATAATAAAAAATAATGTTAAGCTTTATCAACTATAATTGTATATTTATATTATTTTCTCATTATAGTCTATTTGTATCCATGCCGGATTGTGTCCTATTTGTCAATATTTGATGTATGGGAGCATTTACATGACCAAAAACCGGTAACATATATCTGTAACCATGTTTCATAGATGAACATACTATTAACCACTTAATTGGTATAAATATATCAAGAACGATTGTTCAAGCGATTCACTTATGTTGTTTCTACTTAAATTAAGTTAGCAAGCAGCAACTAAATTAAAGTGAATGTCAATGCAAAGATCAAAAAGTAAAGAAAGAAACTAAATGTGTATTAATCAAATATAATCGACAAGCCATTCTTCAAACTTAATATCGACTGTCATCAACTGGGTCCATCTTCAACCATCAAAATATCAAAAAGAAATCTCAACTTTTTTTTCTCAACAATTCAACGAGAATCAGAACCCAATACTTCAAGATCAGATTTTTATGCACCTGGGAGGAACCTCTGACCGATCGTCGCCAGTATTGTCGTGGACCTCAAGGTCCTGATCCTGCTCGAACTGCATCTGGAGATTACCGTCTGCCCGGAGTGGTAGCGTTTCACCAGCTCACTCGGCGACCCATCATCAAGGACTCATGTCACTCCTCTCTCACGCCAACCATCTCGACCGAAGAAGTCGAAACAAAAAAAAGGAGGGACTTTAGCCTAAAACTTGTTGGGTCATATTCTCATAGATGGAATGGAGATCCCATGCTGTAATCGGGGCTTAGCACGATGCAAAGACGCCCAGATCCATCACAAATAGGGGTTAGGGTGCAGAAACCCCGATGAGGAGGAGGAGTGAAATGGGAGGGAGGCGGGCCGGGGGTAGATAAGATCACCTGAGAAGAGAAGCGTCGGGTAGCGAAACGCCAAAACCACAGCAATGAGACTCCCGACGCCTGACACGGGGCGTTGTTGTGCGATTAATAGAGAGAATGGTTCCCTTCGGCGGGCGAAAGAAAGGCTTTCGGAGGGCTAGGGTTAGGGTTTCGTCGCCTCCTTCCCGTCTGTTGGAATAAGGACTCCCCGATGGAGGAGATCACGGAGGGCGTGAACAATCCCCACGCCACCGCCGCCGATTCCCACAAGAAGAACCGGATCCAGGTGTCCAAGACGAAGAAGCCCTTCTTCTTCGACCTCAACCTCGCCAAGCAATTGCAACCGTTGTCACTATCGCGGAAATTCTGAAAAACAATGGCCTGGCTATCGAGAAGAAGATTGCATCATCCATCAACTGATGATGTCAAGTATGAATCCAGGGGTCGGCGCATCCAAAAAGCAAAGATTGAGATATTGTTGGGAAACCTTGGACGAATTGATGGCTCCCGCGGCTGAGAGTGGATGCGGGAGATGGTGAGGCGCAAAGCTGACAGTATTCCTCCAGCAGCCTTTGGTGGTAACATCGGTTTTGCTTGCTTTCCTGTTGGATAGATGGTCTTCGTTTTTACCTAAGCGGCATCCTCCTATTCATCTTTCTTTTGTTTGGTGCACCCCTCTCTTTTTAGTTTTTGTCGAAGGATTTTTTAATAATTAAAAAAATTCTGAATCAAACTATATATATATATATATATATTAATAAATTTTAATATGAACGATCTCCTTAGGTTCAATATTTTGAGGGTGACAAAAAGTACTATTAAGAAAGCGAAGTTAATTCTCTAAAAAAATTAAAAATAAAAAAAAATAAAAAAATCAAAGGTAAGGATAAGGGTAGTAAAATAAATGTTGTTAAGAAAAATTCGATAAAGAACAAAGGTTATTGCTTCCTCTATGATAAAGATGAGTACTAGAAGAGAAATCGTAAAGATGAGTACTAGAAGAGGAACTGTAAAGAGTATCTTAGAGAACGAAACAAAAGTTTAGAGAAACTACAAGTACATTGATGATGCCGAAGAGGTGGAGGTGGAGGTGGATGAGCCCGAGCCAATGGTGAATCGGAAAGTGAAGTTAGCTACTGATGCTTCCTCCCCTTAGTGAATTACTTGGAACGACTCCTTAAATGCATTTGGGTGGCAGTCCCACATGCAGACTCCAACGCACGCAAAAAGACCGGTAAGCTTTTCGAGGGGCTATTTACTCCTGAGAAGATCGACAAGTCGAGTGAGAAGGAGGAGACTGCTAAGAGGGAATTGATCTTAAAAAACAGATCCAAAGGTAATTGATGATCTCAATGGTGTCATATAGGCAACTTTTGATTGTCTTAGAGGTCAATGAATCTTTCGAACAAGCACGTACCGGAAGAAAAAGAAAGATGATCGGAAGTGACGACGATGGAACTTTTTCTCGTGGCCATTAATTTCTAGAGATAACTTTCAGAGAGGACAAAAAGGAATGTGAACATCAGCTTCTTTGTATTATTTAAACCCTTGGCTTCCGAGCATTATACCCACTTCTATCTTCCGTACTATGGTGTTTGAGATCAGACTGCTGAGGTGATTAATATTAAATTCTCAGGTGGAAGGATGGAGTGATTTCTTAATGGTGTGTGATGAACGACAACCGCTCTGCGTCGAGGCGTTCACTGTTCGTTACTTCACGACGAAGGCAACCAATGGTCCGCTGGCCTGTCTATATAAGCAGGTGGCGTCGAAGTCCCCTTCCTTCTTGCCGTCGAGAGAGAGAGAGGAAATGGCAGCGAAGGTGGCAGTGAGCGATGTGGTGTCGCTGCTCTCAGGCGACAAGAGGGACTTCCTCCTCCGTAACAATGGCGACAAGGTGTCTTCCATCAATCGCTAATATTTGTTGAGCATCATGATTACCGTAGAAAGTCAAGATCTTGTGAGACTTGCTCACCAATCTATCGTTATAGAAGTAGTCTTCCATGCTCGTTGCCTAGAGTAAGTGAACCTTTGTCCCTTCCGGCAAGCCAACGATATGCTGTGTGTTCGTCACAAGAAAGCAGGGTGTCTTTTGATCTGTCAGAAAGAGCATAAAGCAATAGGATGAATCGAAGGCTTGGATTTGAATCTGAGGATCGAGAGGTTTAGATAGAAGAAAACGGAGGAGGATGTGATTAGGCGAACTGCTTATTGCTAAAAGTCCAATTTTTTTGCCTAATTCAACTATGAAGAATGCACGGCGATCTATAGATTCTCGCTGACAAGCAGAGATTTGTTCAGGTGGCGATCAGCAGTCTTGACGGGAAAGTGGTTGGTCTCTACTTCTCGGCCTCATGGTGCAGACCCCGCAGACGCTTCACTCCTCTGCTGATCGAAGTATACGATGAGCTCTCCTCGAAGGGCCAGTGCCAATTTGAGATTGTCATCGTGCCAGCTGATCACGACGAGGACTCCTTTGATAGATACTTTTCGAAGATGCCGTGGTTGGCAATCCCATTTGCGGACTCTAACACACGTAAAAAGCTCGATATGCTTTTCAGGGTCGGAGGCATACCCCACCTTGTCATCCTCGATGCCAGCGGCAAGGTCCTTAATGAACAAGGTATCGAAGCTGTGCGAGAATACGGTGCAGAGGGGTATCCATTTACTCCTGAGAAGATCAACCGGTTGAGGGAGGAGGAGGAGGAGGCTGCCAAGAAGGAACAGACTCTTCCAAGACTGTTGGTTTCGCCCTCCCGAGACTACTTGATCTCCAATGATGGGTCCAAGGTAATTGATGACCTCCTTGTAGGAAGAGAAGCTACAGTTTTGATCCACCAGCTTACCATCTATCACCACCTGATCGATACTGAATCGAAGAAGGTTGCCGTGTCGGATCTCGAAGGGAAGATAGTGGTTTTGTACTTCTCGATCAGTGCTTTCACCTGTTGCGCTGAGTTCACTCCGGTGCTGGCTCAAATCTATAGGAAGCTCAAGGAAGCCCGGGAGAGCTTTGAGGTTGTGCTGGTGTCGTTAGATGATGAGAAATCGTCCTATGAACAAGACCTGGCGAGCATGCCATGGCTCGCGATTCCTTTCGAGGACAAGAGCCGTCAGAAGCTTGGCCGCTGCTTTGATGTCAGGGCCAACCCAGCCTTGGTTGTGATTGGTGCCGATGGCAAGACTATGGATGTCAATTACGCTGAGCTCGTCGAAGAGCATGGATTTGATGCGTGGGAAGCGTTCCCGTTTTCTCAGGAGAGATTGGATTTGACGGCAGAGAAGGCAAAGGCCAAAATGAATGCACAGACACTGGAATCTCTTCTTGTCTCTGGGGACCTCGATTATGTAATTGGGAAACAAGGCTCGAAGGTAATGAATTGAGCATATAGTGAATCCACAGCTCAGCATCGTCGATGGCTAATCTCTCGTCATCGTGCTTCACAGGTTCCGGTGAAGGAGCTTGTCGGCGCGACCATCCTCCTCTACTTCTCAGCTTGCTGGTGCGATCGATACCGCGAATTTGCTGCCGGGCTGATCGAGGAATAACAAAAGATCAAGAGCATGGACAGTTCTTTCGAGGTGGTCTTCATCTCCAGCGACCGCGATCAGGATTCTTTCGAGGAGTTCTTCTCAGGCATGCCTTGGTTGGCGCTGCCGTTTGGTGATGAGAGGAGGAAATCTTTGAGCCGCACTTTTAGAGTCCGTGGCATCCCCTCCCTGGTTGCAATTGGTCCTACGGGTCGGACTCTCACAAAGGACGCAAGGAATCTGTTAACGATCCATGGAGCTGATGCCTACCCGTTCAGCGAGGAGAGGATCAAGGAGTTGGAGCAGAAGATTGAGGAGATGGCAAAGGGGTGGCCTGAGAAGGTGAAGCGTGATCTCCATGGGCACGAGCTTGTGCTGACCCGCTGCAAGACGTATTGCTGTGATGGCTGCGGCGAGATGGGAAGTAGGTGGTCCTACAGCTGCACCGGGTGCAATGTCGATTTCCACCCCAAATGTGCATTGAAGGAGGAGAAGAAGGAAGACGAAGATGAAGAACATGATGGAAGGATACGCGTGTGACGGAGCGGTTTGCCGCGAAGTCTTTTTAAGGTTTTGGCTTGTCTCTGTTCGAACCACGGAATTCTACGGTGTCTGAGCGTATGAATCGATGAGAAGAACACGACTGACCCTTTTTCACATCAGATCAGTAAAAGATTAGATTTTTTTTTTCTTATTTGCTCGATATGATCAATCACATTCAAGTCGAAAAACAGCTTCGTCAACTTTCAAATAGCGCAGAGAAAAACCAACAGACTAACGAAAGAGAATGTACAATTTATGGCAACAAAACCAGAAATATTCCACCCGCCAAATTACAAAAGGTGGTACGAAAGCCACCACCATATACAACGTCAACAGTAGTGTAACTACGTACTCTGCACTGATTTCTCTTCTATTCCACCCATATGCACAATAAGGAAAAGTGTATGATGTATCTTTTTCTCTCTCTGTCTCTCTCTCTCTCTCTCTCTCTCTCTCTCTCTCCAATTGGGTATAATAGTTACAGCGTCTGTCAATATATCACAACACGGAGAAGGCCTGGGTGAGGCTGGGTGAACTGCAGGCCTTCCGTCGTCAGGTACTGCTCCACAGCAAGAGGAAGCCAAGCAGGAGATCCTGTGCCCTTGGAGTGCTGCTGACCAACTCCAACGCATATTATGGCGTGCAGTCGCTGCCCTGAGGACCTTGCCTTGCGTCTCAGGAAGCTCAACCTGTTGTTGAGGGATTGCATAGCTTCGGTTACAGAGAGGCCGTATAAGTCGATCACCTGGTCTTTCAGTTGGCTGTAGCTTTGGTGCTCCGGAAACAGTGGGTTCCTGAAAAACATTGGCAGTTCTTCAAAATTAACTAGTGCTTTTAGATATGTAAATAACAAATATTGAGTGCAGTAAAAGAAAAAAGGCAGAAAGTATAACCCAAAAGGTTAAATCCCACATACAAGGCTCTTGGCAATGCAAGATTTTATGAGAGCTAACGGATGCAGTATTACCTCTATAAACAGAGTGACTAATTTTTGTCACTCGAACACTGGTCACTTAGGTCATATGGTACCCAAGTACATTACTACTGTACCAAAGTAACCCTCCAAAGTTGGCAACCATAAATGACTCCAGGAATAAATTTGACATACATTATCTCAATCAGTGAAATAGATGACCAACCTCGTCTGGCAAATTGCTTCAGCTTTTCCATGAGCTGAGCCAGTTTGCCTGTTGTACAATTGCTCTTTGAAACCCAGTTCCTTTGCCAAAACCTTGTCGCCAATATAATATGTTTGATTTTCCTGTCAATAATACATAAAGGTGATTGCTTTCCAAGCAAAAGAGGCTACATTCTTGAATAAGAAACATATAAAGAAGAAGATGATTAGATGAGGAACAATTCATATTATATAACAGATGCCAGTGAAATTGATCAGTGTTGTTGCAAAGGATGAAAGACATATAACAATGAGGCCACTGCAAAATCAAGAATCAGTTGAGGAATCTAAATTGAAGCCAAAGTTCAGAAAACGACAGAAAGCTTCACAGAGAAAACATGGAACAAAAATGAGGTGGAGAGTTGTGCTCTCCGACTAACTTGAATATATTTAGAATCCAGGTGGTTCAACATTTCCAATGATGCAACTAGATTCACAATGCTGTCCAAGTATAGCTACCATAAACAAGAGAAACACTGAAATTAAGTTCTAATAAATACGCAGATCCATGCGTTGCATTACAATTCCTCATTCTTCTTGCGGTGCTACCCTTAAGAGATTAAAGGGTTAAGTTGAATATCATCTATATCAGTACACTAGAGATGCCCATGAATATTATTAAGATGAGAAGAGAGAATGTGCTTCCGCGAACATCAAACAACAATTATCAAGCATAGAGCAATAACAAAAGTCATCCTTAGAAATGATTATAACAGGAATTGTGATGAATAAATAACTTATGATGCCCCAGAAACCAGAACACCTACCATTTCAAAGCACTTATTCCGTAGAGTTGCAACATTGTGATCTTCCCTTCTTGACTCTGAATACAAATTTGCAATCATATTAAATGATGACAATGGGAAAATTTCCACTTTTAACTCAGAAAACTGGTATTAGAAATTACCCACTGCATCTTCAGTCTCGAGCCAACCAGAACTTGAATTAGCTGCACTTTTATTTTTATAAAGTGTTTTACCATGACCATTAAGAGAACTAGCTAAAAGTTGAATGGTTCTACCTGAGCCAACATGACCGTCGGCACAACCATTTCTATCAGACCTCCAACGATGAAAATCCTGCAACCCAAGTTGTCTAATGGTTGATGCAAATTTCATGTCACCTTTTGATATGCTGGAGGTAGATCTATGCATAATTGGATTATGTCGGATATCTTCCCTATTATACTTTGATGACCCACTTTGTGCATGTGTCTCTGCGAAGGACAGAGCAGTGGAGTCCAGCATGCTAACTCTTGAGGATGCCAATGACATCACATTAAGGTTCTGATCAAAACCACTATCAACCTCATGCTGACATTTAGAAGAAAATGATGACAATGTTATGCCTTCAAATAGCTTCAAAAGACAACTAAAGAGCACAGGTAATGATATCATAACATTATAGCAACGATCAATATTAAATGTATAATCTGCCACAATGTCATTTCTTCATACTTCTAGTAAAATTTTAAAGTCACAAATCTATCTGGGAAACTTATGACTGGAAAAGTTTAATAAATTCAATAAAATAACATGCGTACAGCACCACAGTCGAAGAACGATAACATAACCTAATACAAAAATTAAATAAACTGTAAAATACAACAAGATTGTTACCTCCTAGTAATTTGTGGTTAGAACAGTACGAAAATGTTGCCCATAGTACTACTCAAACGAGATAAACTAAAAAGTAGTGATTGACATGTTGAGTTATGATTTCAACAATATTATATATTACAGTTAAACTAACAAGTTGTAATGCAAGTTTCTGATAGAACTCTATCAAAACTTCCATGACTATATACCCCAAAAGAAAATAAGTTTTCTGAATCCATGCTTATAATTTCAGCTGAAACCACAGCAGGCAGCATGCCCAACAAAATTTAGACACCATCACATAGCTATCTGGTCTGGCCTTTTCTTGTTAACTCGGTGAAGAACATCCTTTCTTTATTAGCATAAAAGCCTTGGTTAGATGATATCCAAATAACCAAACAGCTACTGCTATTCCTATTAAGTCACTTGTTTCCACTTTACAATTTGATTTCTTACTTCCCAACATTTTGTTTAAGGCCTAAAGATGAATCTGAAGTTTAGGTTTCTAAAATACTTGATATAAGAAATGATTCCCGAAAAAACAAAAGCCCAAATTAACCCGAACATACCATGTAGTGACTTATAAGCTCAATTGTGGAGTTCAAGTCACATCCATTCTTGTAGTAAACATTGGCTAGTCTCTGAGCATCACAACCGGGAAAGCATGATGACAAATATTTGATAGGATCAACAGCTGCATTCTCAAGAAGCATATTATTACTTGTCAAATCATTTATTGGACCAGCACAAAAATCCCCATCGTTTCTGCATCCCATCCTTCCAATTCTACTGTGCTTTTCACCATTTATGAAAGGTTTGCCCCAGGAACTAGCAGCTGAAGCCATGAACGCAGTTGGTGATTTTTCTTCAGCACATATCTTTTCACTCAAACGGTGATTTTCACTTGTAAAACAAGGAACATCTTTCCTCACACCTAATAATTGGTTGGCCATTGATCCTGAAAGTCTTGATGGTCCAACAGCATCATGTAAGGACAGATCTGCAATTCGGAGATTTCCAGGTCCCTGCAACTCTTCTGCCATGACTTTGAAATCAGGGGTGATATCATCAGGAAGCTGATGGTACCAGTATGGATTCGCCTCACCTTCTGAGTTGTTTGATATAGTGGAGCCTGACTGATTAAAGACTGAATTTCCAGAAGATCCTAGGCCATCAAACTTTTTTGTATCTAAGCTTTTGGTGCTTTTTGCATATTTCAGAGATGATGGAATAAACTCCAAAGCATTGGGATTTAAAGTGGTAACTTTATTCCACAAATTTAACTTGGTACCCTCTTTATCAGAAAGACCATTGTCAGACATATTCATCTTTACTCAAACTACAGAAAGTTCACAAACCTTAAATATTTCATAACACAAAAACAACCTTGACAAATGATTTATCCCAAACCTGCAAATAATATATGTATGAGCTAAAAAATCCAGAGGAATTCATAAAATGTCAATCTATTACAACAAAAGTTATGCAAAAAGTGGCTCTGTACTGCAATCATGTAGGTACCAACAAGTGTTTGTATTGTTAGAATAGATTATATGCCAGCTACATCAGCAAAAACACACAAAAAAAAAGAGAATACTCATCCTCGTGATCTAATGATGATCTTTCAAAGGTACTCACAGCAACAGTAGGGAGAGATATAGCTAAAAAGTTTTTAAATGCCAGTATTAATCATTTGATCATTATTTCTGCATCAACATTAATGAAGAAGGCTAATTTGATCAAAACAGACAACATTTTACTCACAGCTTCTACCAAAGAATAAGTCAAACATCAACAGAATTTCAGCTATGGAATTAGATAGTTCAAAGTTAGGATGACACTAGGGAGCAAATCAAGAACACCTTCAAGGTCGAACTGCTGTCTGCAACTTCATACCTGATTTCCTTTAACAGTTGTTGGTCCATCATAAAAACAAACTAAAGTACCAAGGAAAGGACCTCTTGTTTATTACATCAGATAACTAGTGGAAATCCTAACAGTACTCTGCATGACTACAAAAATTTGTTATTACTCCATGTGGATATAAAACATTGGTGCTGCTATCCTGGGGGTCTATTTGCACAATGAAATTCCTGGACTGAGGTCGTCTATAAAACTCTCAAATACCTATGGAAGATTGAATTTTGCTTGATTCATTCTGATTCTATCCTCATTCACGTTTCAACAAAACTGGACACCAACAAAAATGTAAAACCAGCTAGTTGAGCTTCTAGGTCATAGTATGACAACATATTCAACTATTGGGGAACATTCCATCATCTTATGAAGATACAAGAGTCATAATACTTGTAACAACTTAGTCATTCAATAACCTAACCTCAGAGAACTGACCAAATAGGCGAAGAATCATGTCAGGCAGTAGCCCAAATAATCTCTGTGAGTCTAAGGCTACGTTTGTCTTTTCCAAGTTAGCTACTACATATGAATCCATCAACATTTCATAGTCCCTAAAATTTAGAATGTCATCATGTTGTAATTCTTCTAGGAGGAACATAAGCAGTCTCAATCACGTTATGATTTCTAAAAACCAATTTTCTCAGTTAAAAAATAAAGGATATAGATATTATTATAATTTGTATCAACGAAATATATAATAAATATATGGCGAGCAATGATATATTTGATATCTGCAATACGCATTTCAGTGGCAAGAAAAGCATAGTATTTGATGTTCTGAGGCTTGTGTCATAGAAGCCGGTAGCCTCAGAACCTAGGAGACATGTGGTACCAATGTTCCATGTCATGTTTTTCATCATGTTCATTTATTTCCACTAGAGCAAGGATATATTGTAGCAAATTGTTCCTTCTGAATGCTCCCAAGTGCCTAAGAATGGCATCTTCAACTCCTTTCAGACCTTGTACAACCTCTCAGTTGTATGTAGAAATCTTTTTTATATACAGAATGCTACATAATCCCTGTAGCAAAGTCCCATGTAAAAGATTTTACATTTGAATCTCTGTTTAGATATAAGTTTCCTTCATGAAACCAAAGAGCAATTAAGAATATTATGTTTCTTTCAAGTTGATGAAATAATACTTTATTTAAATCAACAAAACCCAACAAAAACAAACGTTGCATTAATTTCTAACCTAGTTATTCTTATGTGTTTTTCTCACCTTACCTATCAAGCTATAGAACATAAGTCTTAATGACTACAATACTAAACATTTACTTTTGGGTGAGATACACAAAACTCTGATTCCTAGACAAGTCTAAATGATGCAAATTGGATCACTCTCTTAAGAAAATGGTTCGCCACAATTTTTCTCTCACAATTTCTCTTCCAATTTATCTCCATCATGATCCAACACAACCTAACCTGCCTACTCAAAACGTAGTAGAACTCCATCTTAAGATAAATATTTCTTTCCAAAAATATGATTACATCACTGACAAAAAATGTTTCTCGTTTTCTTCACATCATATTTGTAAGGTATGTGTCACAACAGTAGATGAACAACTTGTAATCCAAAAATGAACCCCAGACGCTTCAATACTAATTAACGAATTCATGGCATAATATGCAAGTAATGGCATTAGCTAATTAAAGCAACACCTCTGAATTTGCAGCTAAATTAGTCCAAGAACATTCAATCCTGATCTCGTGAAAGATAAACAAGCGTCGACAATGTTTTCTCATATGATGCAAAACCACTAAATTCACTCTCCATTTTCATATTTTCGTAAGTTCCATTTTCATATCAATTTCAGAAGGACACAACAATTGGCATACACTTTAAATTTGCAGCAATTGACTGGTTTGAGCAAGACAGTAACTAGTCTCTCAATTTCAGCATTCAAACGTACATATTCCATTATTTCGTATGACTATATTCCAACTCAATTATAGTCCAAGAACTAAGCAAACATCATTTACCACATCAACTATTTTAGTTTCCATCTTTAAAGCTGCGTATTTTGCAAAAGAGCAAAAGACACAAGAAAGCAACTGCTGCACCACTTCCGAACCCAAGAAACCCACAAAATCCCAGTGAAAACAACATAAGGTTCAAGAAGACATGCAAGAGATGTAGCAATTGCAGTCCCAATATCTCAACCTCGTCGTCCAAGAAACATCAAGTAAAGAAACCGGATTCACACCCAAAGGAAATGGAAACTTGCCCGAAGAAGCTCAAGAAAAAGAGCAAGAAACCAAGATCGAAGCAAACAGACATTAAAAGGCCGCACCTTTTCTCAGATCGATGGCCTGATAGATGAGAGGTAGCCAAGCCATCAGATAAGGGCGAGAAAGAAACAAATAAAGAAAGAGATCTCTTCGGATTAGACCGAGGGTTTTCTCGGGATTCGTGACTCTCCCAGCTAGCTGCGGCCGCTTGGAATTCCCACGGGAATATCTCAGCACCCCTTCGATTTCGCGTCGATCGCGACCACCACCACCACCACCATCGAAGGACGCTTCGTTGAAGAACCAAAGCAGCAAGAAAACGACAGAGAACTCCAATCACTTCTTCTCCTCGCCTCTCCTCTCTCTCTCTCTCTCCCCTCACCCTCGTCTTTGCTGCTGCTGTTGACCCCTTGATACTAGCGACGAAACGGCGGAGTCGAGTGCTTTCAGCCGTCGGATCGTCTCGCTCGAGCGAATCCCATCCGTCGGCGTCGAGCGTCACTGCGAAGCGTCGACCGCCACGAGTGCGCCTGCGGCACATCTGAAAAGGGAGGGAGGAGGCAGCGGTTGTTATGACAGGACACGTGGCGCCGTACGGGCTGTGGAACCGTGTGCTCGATGATCGAGTGGTTTGGTCCCATCGTGCGTTGGGTCCCACCAAATAAATATGGTTGGCGACTTATTTCTATTTGGCACTTTGCCACGTGAAATGACTCATCACGGGACTCGAAATCTCGATATCGCGTACTCCGTGGAAACGCTTCCGTTTCCCGACGCGACACGCGGGTCACCTTGCAACTCGCCACGGCGTCGGTGCTGCCGCGTCATCATGTCGTGTCTTAAGTCGCGTTGGACACCGGAGAGGCTCCCGCTTCTGGCTTCCGTCCAAGAAGCCAATATCTCGTTAAATCGACGATTCTGACGCCGATTTCAAGATCCATGTGGCAAATGCTCATCGAATCTGACACGCGCTCAGCCCTCCATCGGCCTTTCTCCGACCTTCCTCCCCGCACCTCCGGAACCCCGGCCTCAACCCTAACCGTAACTCATTATTCTCTTCGCGTCCATCTTCGACCCCCTCCGCGGTGGCTCTCCTCTTCCACTTTCCTCCCATCCTCCGGTTCAGTCGCCGACTCCGCGATCCCGGTGGGAGAGCTCGTCGAGAGGGACTGGTCCTTCCTCGACGCAGACGCGAGAAACTCCGATGAGCCGCGGGCCGACAATGCCCGCCGGATCATCGCGGCCGCTGAAATCAGCGAGGTCGGATCCAGGGTTCTTGCGGTACTCCCGACCGCGGATTCATCAACCGGGTGGTGGAGTCGGTCCCCTGCGAGCTCATGGTGGCGATCCACGCGTCGCTCTTCGTGCTTGCCGTGATCAAAGAGAGCCATGACCGAGCGCGGTGCAGGCAGGGCCGTGTGGACGCCGTGCCGGAAAGGTTTTTGCCATTCGATGTGGCCTGGGATGGGGCGTTTCGATTGGCCAGTTGCTTAGTTCGCTTGCTGGGAAGTGCTCTCCAGGTTCTTTTCTTCTTCGTTACCGAAATATGCTATTTAAAAGGAACTAAAGTTGTATGTCTTACAGCATTTTGTGAGCAAAGCTTCAACCTTTGGTTATGTCCACTCGTACTTAAAATTTGGATTTCTTGAAATCCGGTCCCTCTGACGAGTTTGAATCTTTTCTCTTATTCTTTTTCCGTGCAAATTAGTTGTTGTGGATCAATTGCAGGGTTCTTAGAATGTTAATTTGATTACTAAACTGGCTAGCATTTTGCAAAGATATTTGGCAATTAGATAGATAGATCTGAACACTTTAAAAGTGGGCAACTTCAATAATTTAATAACAGAAATTTCATATTGTGATCTAAAGTCTTTTGTTTGGATGTCTTTTGGCTTACTAGAACTGAACTTGAGGTGTAGAAATGGAAAGCTCTCTGTTTGCTGCGTGAAATCTTTCTCCCCATCATTGGAGTGAATGACCTTTTGACTGTTCCATGTGACAATTGTTGCAGAAGAGAAAACTGAGGAGATTTATTATTTAACATGTCAGCAAGGCCTTTTTAAGATTATTATGACTAGTTCAATACTTGGATGTTTGAAATGCACTTCAGGACTCCTTGATGAACCTGTTGATCTTGTGCTAGATGATAATACATTAAGTTTTTCTCTTTTGATCTTGGAAAAAAATTAGCATGTGGGAAGGCTAAGATGAGAATTTCATCTGTGGTGTCTCTACTTGTATTGGGGGAAAATGTAACATCCCGATTAAGACCTACTTCGAAAGTGAAAGAAGACTTAAATAAAAGGCTCCTTGAGTTTATTATTTTAATTTCGATTTAAACATTTTAGACTAGTGATTTAAGTTTAACGGAGTTAGTGAATCGATCATCTCATCAAATAAATAGTGCACTTGGTGATTTAAGCAGTGGCAGAGACTTGTCTAATAAAGCGAAGGTTAATCTGTTGTTAATTAGGACAACATCTCAGAAACAAGTTTTAGGGATTGCGAACTGTTCCAATTTCAGCTTTAGATTGGACTTGCCTAAGAATTAATGATTTGAAATGTCATTTTGGGAAACATATTCCATCTTGTGTTGGTAACAACTACATTCATTATTGCATGTTGATTGTCTTCACATCTAAACCATTTTGTTACTGATCAAAATGACATTCCACTTACAAGTGACTAGAACATTTCAACTACTGCATTTTAAATAACCATTTCGTCATGTTTCTGCTATTGAACTTCCAAATATTTCTTCTGAATACTGTTGCAATTTGATTTGCAACTTTCTTCATGTTGACTCAATTTGTGATGCACAGGTGCAAGTGTAGTTGTCAGCTTTGATCAAGGGAGGGAGGTTGTCAAACAAACCCATATGCAGCAGTTCCCTGGCATTGTAACCTATCACTTGCCCGACAAAATAACACTAGAAATGGCGGCAACCGAACATTCATTTCAGGTAACAGGATTTATTGATGAGCCTATCTTTTATTGAGTGGGGAAACTTAGTTCAGTGATTTGTTGTAATGACTTGGCATGTCTCCCTATTTTTCATGTGTTCAAGAAATGGCCATGCCTAAGAGTGAAATCTGCCTTGTGGTTTTGACTTTGCATGTGACCCATATTGGGCCAGGATTCTTAGAATGATGGCTTTATGGATATGAAATTTGCTCAAGCTGTTCCAGCTAGTCTCATTCTCCTTTGTAATATTGAAATGATCATTCTTGTGGATGCTTTTGAAAGAAACAATGTTATGCTTTGGTAGGAGAGAAACTCATGAATGATCTAATTCCATATTTTGTTGCATTTTTTACTTGTTTGTAGCTTAATCTCATGCCGTCCACATTTTTCCTATCTATATGTTGATGTACAAAAAGCAATAGATGTTAATGTCTGTCTAAAAAGAAGCAATAGATGTTACTAACTTTACTGAATTCTTTTAGAGAAGATATAGTCCTTTTTTTTGGCGGTGAGCTTACCGCGTGTCTCCCGGTCGGTAAAGTGCCTCTTATCTTAGTTTCACCGGCGGTGAACGAATTCTCAGTACATTGAAGCTCTCAGGGGTCGGAAGAATGCGCCAACCTGTTCGATGAAATGCGTCGGATCTACTCTTATCAGATTTATTTTGTTCCTACAATCTCTACAATTTCTGTGGTAATCATCAATCAATAGTCAACAAGCTGCAACCTTCAAGGTGTTCGGAATTACAAGCATCGTTCATAGGAGCTATATGACAAACAGTAGTGTCGAAATATCGATATTTTGAACGATCAAAACAGTAGTAGTGTGCAATTAAGTTGCAACTCCATCCACAGCAGCAGAGTTGAGCTCCCTTAGCATGGCCACCACCTGCAGCATGTTGGGCCTCTTCGACGGGAAGTCCTCCACGCACTGCAGCGTGATCTCCATGAACCTGGCCATCTCCTTATCCTCCTCTGCGCCGTTTGTGAGCAGGAGCTCCCCGTCGAACACCTCCCTCCCTTTCCCTTCCCTCACCTTCATCTTCACCCAGCCCACCAGGTTGGTGTCCCCGAAGTCCTCCCTGTCGGTAGGGCGCCTCCCCGTCAGCAGCTCCAGCATCACCACGCCGAAGGAGTACACGTCGCCCTTGGCGGTGCAGCGGAAGCTCTGGTAGTACTCCGGCGGCACGTACCCGGGCGTGCCGGCGAGCGTGCTCACGCTCAGGTGGGTGTCCAGCGCGCTGATCAGCCTAGCCATGCCGAAGTCGGACACTCTTGCGTCCATTTGGTCGTCCAACAGCACGTTGCTCGACTTCATGTCGCGGTGGATGATGTGGGGGATGCAATTGTGGTGGAGGAAGCACAGGCCCTTGGCGGCGCCGCGCGCGATCTTCTTCCTCTCCTCCCAGCTCAGCGCCGCGTCCCGCGGCTTCGTTCGGCCGTGCAGCATGTCCTCGAGGCTCCCGAAGGTCATATACTCGTAGACGAGCAGCCTCTCTTCCCCCACCTTGCAGTAGCCCAGCAGCGGCACCAGGTTCCTGTGCTTTATCTTGCCTAGCGTCTCCATTTCCGCCATGAACTCCCGGTCACCCTGGTAGCTCAGATGTATCAGCTTCTTGATCGCGACGCTCGATCCGTCCTTGAGCGTGGCTTTGAACACCTCGCCGAAGCCGCCGCACCCGATGAGGCTGGCCGCGGAGAAGCCGTTGGTGGCCTCGATGAGCTGCGAGAACTTGAGTTTGCGGAGCTGCCGCTGGAAGGTGGCGACGTTGATGCTCAGAGGCTCCTTCTCCTTCTCGATCTTCCATGTTGTCGCCGCATGCGTGGCTTGCAGGCTGCTTAGCATCTTGGCTTCCTCTGCCTCCCTGTGCCTCGCGCGCATGACGATTGCCCACACTATAAGAACGCACAGCGAAGCCACCGAGACGAGGACCCCGAGAACGACGCTGTTCGCCCAAGCGGCTGCCGAGCTTCTTCTCTCCTGCTTCCCGTAGCTCGACGGAATGGCGGTCGGGAGATTGCTCGGTGGCTGGCACGGGGGCAGCGGGACGCCGCAGAGGCCCGGGTTGTTCGCGTACTGGCTCGCCGGAAGCGTGGTGAGCTGCCCTCTCGCCGGAATCGGCCCCGACAAGTTGTTGTCCGACAGGTCGATCTGCACCAAGAATGAGAGGTTGGAGAAGGACTCCGGAATGCTCCCCTGCATCCTGTTGTGCGAAGCATCAAAGACGCCGAGGTTTCGGAGGCGGCCGAGGGTGGCCGGAATCTCCCCTGTCAACCTGTTGTGCGCCAAGTCGAGCACCTGCAGCACCACCATGTCTCCGAATTCCTCGGGGATGTTGCCGTAGAGCTCGTTGTAGGATAGATCGAGGTACTCCAGTGTTTGGTAGTGCGTCCAGTCGCTGAGCGCCGCGCCGGAGTACAATCGAGTGAAGTCGCAGGTCTTCAGCGTC